CTTCCAAGTATTTTTTTTCTCCTTTTGTGTCCGGTTCAACCGGTTCCAGCTGCTAACGGCAAAAAAGCCCGTTAAAGTTAGTGTTTATTCAAAATGCCGATGTGGTCATTTTTGGTTGGTGGGTTCACGCGTCCAGTGAACTCACAGTTGCACAGAACGTGCCCTCCATAACTATGATAATATTATAAGTATATCATGAAAAAAATAAAAAAAAAAATGAATAATTATTATGGAAAAGTACAGACTGGCCCATTTCAGATTTCTGAATTCCACTGCAGATCTATAAATATTAAAAATGTCCAATACCCCCACTCTATGCATCAACGCCTGCCCGTGAATTGGCATCAATTCCGAGCTGGCACCTACCCCAACTATACTTTGGGCCTAAAAATTCTGACCCTGGGCTGAATTGTCATCTTCCTATTTATTATGGTAAAAGAAAGATAGGTATCAATATACTAAGGGTATCTTTGTAATATTGTCAGTTTGGTCTTGATCGACTCAAAACAACCAAAATTGATTCATAGGGACATGTATTTCGGGTCTGCCCAACCCATCGACAGCTCTATTTCTATGCATTAATATGATAAAAGAGTATCGGAAAGACAATTTTGGGATTTATATCTTGATATGTTCATGAAATCCATAAACATGCTAGGAAAATCCAAATAATTTTAAGGCGTTGTTTGTTTTTCAAAATGTCACTTATTTGGGGTAAGTGCACTTATTTAGGTAAATGTTTTTTGGGAAATACTTTTTGGACAAGTTCACTTATCCATTTTCTTTTGATTCCTATATAAGTTCAATAATGACATTTTTATCCATAAAAAACCAAGATTAGAATGGATAAATTCGTCCCATTATATTTTGTAAACTTACACCCAGGTAGGAATAAAAGGTGCTTATCCACCTGGGAGATGGGTATCACTTAGGTTAGAAAAACCAACTTTATTGTTGGACATAGAGTTTACCAAAAAAAGAGCACTATAAAGTTGATATATCACTTTCCCGTTGACCAACTTTCTCTCCTCTTATTTCCCGAAAAATAAATGGGGCCTAAATGTTACATCAATTTAATATAGATAGCAGATACAATATATAAACATGATAAATGTGTACCTTGGCACATTGCAATTTGCATGAAGTATACAAAGCTTACAATGGATGTATACCTTACTCAAATGGAAATGGGGAATTGGCTTTAGTGCTCACAAGATGACACTCACACTGTTCGCATAGCCGTGCATCAGGAATATATCCGTACTTATATGTTTTTTTTTCATGAGGAGGTATTTCTAATATAAGAGTGCAAGGGACCATGCAAATGATATGAACACGGTCTTGTGAGTTGTGAGAATCAAATCCGATTTCATTGGAAGGATGTTAAAATATATTTTGTTAGAGAAGATGCCAATTCCTTTTGAAATCCCATTAAAATTGCAAATTAAAATATTAGATTCTACAAATTCTCGAAACCTAATGGATGATGAAACTTGACTCAATGATGAATTGTAATCGGATCAGATGTTGGATTAGTTATCGGAATGATCCAACCTGATATAATTGGATGAGATGTCGGATTAAGTATCGGACGAATCAGTTGTAAGCCCCGGAACAAATATTTAGCGAACTCTACTTCAACGATGGGTCCTCCATGGCTTTGGATTTCAACTTTATTCTGTGCCTCAAATGGATAATGACAAATAAAACCGGGTCAGAAGCCAGTAAGCCGGTTATATGTAGAAACAATTTCTTAAAGAATATTATACTGCTACTTTTTTCAAGATTTGAGACATATATACGTCCGGATCTGGTCAGAAATCAGAATAAAAGTATGTAAACAATTCGGATATAAGGATGTTTGAATGCCAACATGTAGCTTGGGTCGAATTTAGGTTGTAATGAGTCGAGTCGAACAGAGTATCAAGTTACTTTTGCTTGAATTCAAATAAAAAATATAAAGCTTGAAATTCGATTCAAACTCGATCGACTTTAATGTGTTTGGCTGAAACTCGATTCAAGCCACTATTTTTGAGTTATTCGAATCATGGTTTTTGAATCGCTGTTGATCCGAACAGTCAGACCGTTTAATCTTGGAGTCGTTCAAGCAACTGGTTCTATTTTATTTCAAACCCGGTCTCTGGCCAAAAATCATTGAATTGGTCAACGATCCATTGAGCCGGGTGGTGGAACCATTGACCCATTCAATAGTTTTTGGCCATTTTTTTTATTTTTAATCATATTTTCTTTTAATTTTTGTTGTCAGAACGGGTCGTCCATTCGAACTGGATAGTCGAACAGTCGAACCGTCGACCCGGAAACCAGTGGTCAGAATGCTACAATTTCCAAGTCGTTTTTTAAAACCATGACTCAAACTTGCTCAACTTGAGCCGATTATAAATAAATTAATATTATAAATACTATAAATAAAAATATATTATGAAAATCAATTATAAATGTATTTATTTATATTATAAATACAAATATATTAAAAAAAATATTTTAATATGAATTTGATTAGGCCCTCGATCCAATTATTATGAAACTCAAGTTTAACTTGATTCGAATTTGAGTATTTAGCAAACCGAGCCCAAATAACCCATGAATAGGTAAAGGTGTAAAACGGGGGTAGGGCCGTGCTCACTCGTAGGCCAGGCCTCCCTCCCCTAGGATATTTTGGGGGGTTGGCCCAACACAGCCCATGGCCTAAACTCGCACGGGTCTGTGCCAAGCTGGGCCGGGTTGGTCTGTAGGTTGAGCCTTGGGCCAGGTCGGGCTGTGGACTGGGCCAAAGTTATTTATTTAAAAATTGAAAAAAAAACTTAAAACTTTAATTTTATATGAATTTTTTATGTATACAATTGCTTATATATACAATAATTAAAAAAATTGTATAATAAAATTAAAAAAATCGTTTATTTTATTAATATATTATATACTATATATTATTATATAATTATAAATAATATATTATATATTATATATTTTATATATAAATATATATAATATATATGGGTCGGGATGGAACGTAGGCCACGGGTGACACGACATGACAGTGTGGGCCGTGCCAACCCGGCCCGTTAACTTGAAACCCTAAGTCCAACACGGCCCATCGGTCCATATAATCGTACTGGGCCGCGGCATGACCCATAGACCATCAGGCCAGACCGACTCAAAATCGTACTGGGCTATGCCGGGCTGCAGCCCGTTTCATGCCCAGCACGACCCAATTTACACCTCTATAATAGAATCAGTTTGCTTACACCCCGTTTCATGCCCAACCCACATCCATGAGCTGGCGCTGGCGCCCCTGCGTACTCTTCAGAAGTTCAGCTGGTACTTGGGATTAGCAGCATAAAATGAGACTTCGTTTAGATTGTAGATACGTTTGCAAACAACCATCGTATTGGAATCTTCTTTCTCTCTTCTTAATACTCCATTGAGACATGGTTGCTGCTGGCCGAGTAAGTGCTATCCCTACTCAAGCAAGTCCATTAAATCATAAAGAGGACACGTTGTAAGATCCGCCCCATAATCCCATTGTATTTTACTATTTTAGGGGTGCAATTTGGGCTGGACGAGTTAAAATCAGCCCCCCACAAGATTACCCTCCACAACACCTCCCAATGACAATATAAAAAATGAGGATGTCATTATCGGGAAATGTTCTCAATATACGGTGGGGATGTGCTGTGGGACATTGTGGGGGCTGATTTGGTCTCGGGCTGGACTACCTTGAATCCAATTCAAAACTCCAACCTTAAAATATTGAGTTGGGCAGGATCAATTTAAAGTTTGGATCATGGTTTTTAAAAATGACTCGGAGACTGAACCGGTCAGGGGTCTAGTTACTGGGTTGAACGGTCTGCTCGTTCGAACTGAACGATTGGCCCGTTTTGACAACAAAATAAAAAAAAATAAAAAATGGTCAAAACCATTTGAACGGTTCGAATAGTTAACCGCTCGAGTCAACAATTTACTAACCAAAATCAACGATTTTGAGCAAATTTCCGATTTTGAGAAAAAACAAAACCAATCACCTGATCGATTCCTGATTTTTCTGATTTTAAAAACCATGGTTTGGATTAAGGTAAGGTTGAGAAATATGCACAGGGTTGAGGCTTTGGGTAGTTTTTGTTTGTGTGTTATAACCCATGGAATTGGAGAGACGTTTTAAGGACTAAGGTAGGACTAGAACACCCGATGTACTCCATCCCAAAATCAATCCAATCCAACCAGATTGAACTCAGGTTTGGTTTGTTTGGCTAGTTTCTAAGGACAAAGTTATTATTCTTTTTTTGGAGTATTAGTTTTATTTTATACAAAAATTCTTGACATTTATACATAGAAATGCTGTGTTTACATATAATACATACTCTATACTTCTCTCTCTCATTTAAAAACCTCCTTTAAGATAACAGAACAAGAAAAAACATAATTATTTTATTTTTACTTCATAAGTCAGAGCTATTACTTGAAAACAAGTAATACAATATATTATATTTATTATATAAAATAAATTTAAATAGATTTAAAAAAATAAAAAATAAATTTATAAATATACAAATAAGAATGATTGAAGCGGGCAGGACAAATTCGGGATCCCCATTTTCTGTTCAGGGTGCCATTCCTACCAATGATAATGCCCCAGAAGAACGGTAAATTACATAAAGCCCACAATTAGAGGTTCAATAGTTGTGAGTCTCATATTTTATAATTGACGTGGAGCACTATTATTGGTTTCACGGCGAGCTGAATAACTACTGCGTTAAGCTAAATCTTACCTCCTTCTTGTTTAGCTTAATCTTTTCTATTGTAACAAAAAAACAGGGTTAATTTCGCCACTATACCGCTACTATAGACTGTAGTACCGAACTTTACGTACTTCAAAAATGCCCCGCCAGCGGAAAACGATCCGGACTTCACATCTGGATCTTAAATCCAGCTCTTAGATGATTTCGAGTCCGGGCCGTATAGTATAATGGTTAGCAACAAAGCAGAGCATCATGGTAGGAAACTAGGAACGAGAGAAAACTGAAAAAGTCGGTTTTTTTTTTTGTATATTTTTGTTCGTATTTTAATTTCCCCCTCATTTTCTTGGCGTGTTAGAGAAGGCTGTCAATCACTTTCCAAAAAAATCCGTTCTAAAATTATTGAAAATTCGGTCTGGAAGTTGACATCAAGTCCAACCCTTCGAATCATAACTTTCAATTGATTTCTCTGCTTCTTGCTCTTTCTTCTTCTACTTGAAATTTTCGTTCTTCTTCTCTGTTCTAGTTTTTCCCGGCTTACTAATTCCGGCGCCGGACTGTCCTTTTTTTATTCTGCGTTGTTTCGTGCTTTCATCTTTCGTATTCGATATTGGTGATTTTGAAAATTGGAAGAATGAACCAGTAATCCACTACAGCCATATGGTGAGTTTAAGAAAACTGTCAATATCATAATTTTCCTTTTTCTTACTTTAAATTTTTTTATTTGGAATGTATTTTAGTATTTTATTGCTATTTCGAATTGCTGAACTTAAATTTGCAGTTCTTCGTAGCTGTATCATTTGGTTCAGTTGCTGATATTGTTCGGAAATAGAATTTAGGGCTTTCGGACAGTAAGAAAAATTATCATCCTCGAAATTTTGATTTTGAAAGTTCATTTTGTTTTTCGTACTTCAATTACAACTTTGCTGCTTCTTATAATGCTTATTTTTGTCGTACTTTTTACAGTTCGTCTGTTTGAGTTTGCATGCGGTGGATTTTCCATGGAAACACTGGTTGCAGCAGAGGGGAATGATGAACAGCAGGTGAATGGGACTTCCGATGAGAATATTAGCCCCCCTCTATCCTTTCCAAAGGAAATTGCTGATCCTGTTGTATACAAACTCGTCCGGGTACTTCTTCACACAATATCGTTTCCTTTTGTTTCCTCTTTGGTTGTTTTTTGTGTAAAAAATAGTTTTTTTTTTTTTTTTTTTTTTTTTAGAT